ATGCAGTTAACTGCATCTTTTGCTTTGAAATTACCTGAGAGACCACCTCCTGCCATTCACCTCCCAACGACCAATAAGATCGCACAGGTTGGGCCTCCTCTGGGTGCCGTCGACCGGACAATGCCGGCTGGCGGCCCCCCGAGGGAGGGCCTTCTCTGTAGCTGCACCGGCCCTGTGGAACGATCTCCCCGTAGAGATCCGGACCCTTTCTACTCTCCCGGCCTTCCGTAAAGCGAACAAGACCTGGCTGTTCCGGCAGGCCTGGGGCTGTTGAGGACCCGGATTGTTGTTGGGGGCAATATGCTGACTCTCTGTAAACCGCTTAGAGAGGCCTGAAAGGCCTATGAAGCGGTATATAAGTCTACTGCTAAGTCTACTGCTATTAATTAAATGATCCCTGTTTGATTTTATCTTTTTTTTGGCCATAGTTGTTAAGTGAATTTCAGGTCACTGAGAAAATTGAGATTTCCCCCATTGAGTTCGCTTGTACAAAGGTGGCTGGGAAGATCACAAAATGGCGATCAAAATACCCCAGAAAGCCGCCCCTGTCATAAATACATGCTATTGGTCAAGCTTCTGAATTTTGATCATGTGACCCACTGTGTGGATGGTACAGCAGTCATAAGTGTGAGGACCGGTTGTAACCCACTTTTTTTCCAATGGAGGAAAAAAGTTCACTAAATGAAGAATTATGAAGGGAAGAATGAACCTCTGTAGCGCCAAGTTTTTCTCAAAACACCCATTAAGAATTTATCCTGCTGTGGAGAGACACGGAACGGCAGATCTGTTTGAAGGGACACCTTTATCCACTGACACGCCTATCCATGTGTGCCCACCTATGCCATCTCTTCCCCTGTTTTATTTGACCGAGGTGATATTCACGGTGTCTTCACGGACTCTCGAAGACAAAATTACTAGATGTGCAAAATATGTCACACTTTTGGCAATCTTTGAAATCGGCATACTTTTGGGGTACAACTGACCTTTATTCTCCCTTGACATAGTCCTCAACTTACGGCCACAATTTCCCCAAACTTCCACAGCTACGCAAGAGTGTTAAATGTGCTTTGCCCCATTTTGCGACCTTTCCACCGTTGTTAAATGTCTGTTAACCCTGGGCTTTGCAAGCACTTGCCCCACCTATCTGTTGCTCATCAACAACCTTTTGGGACGAGATGCGGACCCTCGGGGACGCCCTCTGCCTCGCCGGAAGATACCCTGGGGACCTCTGAGCCCAATACCCCTCTCTCCCCATCCACCATTCAGGAAAGATGCTTCCGCGAGGCACGATTCGGGTTTGCCAGGGTAGAACAGTGGGACATATTCGGATGGCGGCTTGGGAAGCGGCATCTCAGGATTCAGACACAGACAAGGTGAGGTGAACTCCGGGCAGGTTTGTGAAGCAAGCTCCTGGCGAGAAGCTGCCCGTTCCTGCCGCAAACACCGCAACTCATCGCGGATCTCGGTGAGGACAGACAGGAGCTGCAGCTGGAGGTCCCTGTCTCTAGACTGCTCTTGCCGTTGTTGTTCTCGTTCCCCTTGCCACATGGCTAACTCCTGGTGGTAGAGCTGGTCCCACTGGTCTTCCATCTCCATTAAGCGATGGAGGGTGGCCCTGTAAGGGTCTCGGCGGTTTTCCCGCGGGCGGGAGCCCCCGATTCCCCGCGGCAAGGAGTGTGAAGGAGATACCTCATCTGCGCAAGGCGATAAAGGAGGCGGAGACTCCTCCGATACTTCTCCTGTGCCGAGCGGAGATATGGGTGGCTGCCCTTGCTGATTCTCATACGGCCGCTTCTCCCACGCCGGACCCATCAGTCCCTGTGGGAAGGAGCCGAGATCAGTATTGGGGGGCCTTGACTCTTCTTCCTCTGCCTGGGGTCCCTGGACAGCACACCCACCATGACCCCACTCAGAGTGACCACCCGCCTGAGTAAGTGTGTCCTCTGGCTCAGATGTGAGCGATCCTTGCAAATTGCAGTGATCGAGAAGCATCGCCTGCTGGTTGGAGAACTCCTGGTTTTCCTCGGCCGAGAACCGTAGATCGAGACCATCATCACCGTCCGGGCCTTCCCCCTCCTCCTCTTCGGAACTGTAGGAAACCAGGGAGTAATTTCTCACTGGGGGAGACATAGTCGATGTTTCGGGAATCTGGACCTCTGGACCAGAGCCAGCTAGAGGAGAGAAGGAAACAAGGTTGATCGGCAGCTCCCATCCCAGGAGACGGTGAGTTCTAGTCCCACCTTAAGCATGAAAACTGGCTGGGTGACTTTGGGCCAATCACTCTATCTCAGCCAACCTGCCCCACAGGGCTGTTGTTGTGGGGGAAATCAGAGGGGTAAGTTGTGTTGGATTTGTTCACCAAAGGTCATTGTGAAAATAATGAAGGCGATACAGGAATAAAAAAACCAAATGTCTCTACTTTGGCCTCATGTTCTCTGAGTGTAACCTTCAACGATTGCTAAACAAACCGTTGTAAGTTGAGGACTGCCTCTAAGTATGTCATTATCATCACTTTCACCGATGTCTCTGTGTCAGATACAGTGGGGAGGGGGAGGCCAAGAAAAGAGGGCTGGATCGGGGTGAAATTCAGCAGGTTCTGCTACTGGTTCTGGAGAACCGGTAGCAGAAATGTTGAGTAGTTCGGAGAACCGGCAAATACCACCTCTGGCTGGCCGCAGTAGTGGGGAGGGAATGGGGATTTTGCAGTATCCTTCCCCTGCCACGCCCACCAAGCCACACCCACCAAGCCACACCATGCCCATCAAACCACGCCCACAGAAACAATAGTAAAAAAAAAAATTGAATTTCACCACTGGGCTGGATCCCAGCAAAGGGCCTGTAATAAGCAGAGGACCGGACTAAAACTCTAACCCTAACCCAAGCCTCACGCCACTAGCGGGCTGCGGCCTATCAGGAACTGGGCCACCTGCATTTGTGCAGCTCCATGCGCACGTGTGGGCAAGGCGCATACATGCATATACCTGCCCACCGTTCATGCGAGTTGATCTGCATGCAGAGGCCCACCAGACTAACGCTTATGTGGCCCAGTTTCCATCTCTCCCCCCCCCTCCCCCAGTCAGATCGCCAAGCCACAAAGATTGGGGACCGCCAGGCTAGATGACCTCTGAGATCCCCTTCAAACACTATGAAAAGGGCGGCATACAAATAAATTAAACATAAACATAAACATGATCCTAGAACAGTAGCCTCACTTTCGCTGGTGGGACAGTCTAGGCAGCATCCAGTTGCCTTGGAGGACTTACCAGAGCTCCCCTGCTCTTCACCTCTGCTGTAGTCTCCAATTAGTGACGGCTCCGGACTGTGGAGGCTCAGGTGGGGTCCGCCAAACCCCTCCATTTCTGGCTGAGTGGACGGCTCCCCGCTGGAGTTGATATAAATACCGGAGTGGCTGGATGCCGGCTCCATGGGCCCAAGCTTTCGTTGGGAGGTTACCGGGAAGTAAATCTCTGTGAAACAAGATAGCAATAGCAATAGCAGTAGACTTATATACCGCTTCATAGGGCTTTCAGCCCTCTCTAAGCGGTTTACAGAGTCAGCATATTGCCCCCANGAGGGAGGGCCTTCTCTGTAGCTGCACCGGCCCTGTGGAACGATCTACCCGTAGAGATCCGGACCCTTACCACTCTCCCGGCCTTCCGTAAAGCCGCCAATACCTGGCTGTTCCGGCAGGCCTGGGGCTGTTGACTATATCCAGCCCCACTTAGACTGAATGGATGTTGTATTATTTCAATAATTTTATCTTTTCTTAAATTTTTTAAAATGCTTTCATCTTGCTTGTGAGCCGCCCAGAGTCCCAAAGGGAGTGGGCGGCATACAAATTTTACTAAACTGAAACTGAAGTCCAGAGAGAGAGAGGGGGAATTCTGGGAGTTGAAGTCTAAGCATGCTGAGGATTTCTGGGAATTGAAATCCAGAGCCGCGGGATTCTGGGAGTTGAAGTCTAAGCATGCTGGTTAGAGATTTCTAGGAATTGAAATCCAGGCATGTTGGCTAGAGAATTCTGGGAGCTGAAACTCAGACATGCTGGTGGGGGGATTCTGGGAATTTAAGTTGAGACATTGCAGAGACGCGGGGTGGGGGGAGCGCTGGAGCATCTTCTCTGATTAGCGCGTTTCCCTTCAACAAGGATGCCCAATTACCTCCCTAGAAGTCTTCGCCTGGATTGAATATAACGAACGTCTGAATATCCGGATATCGTCGAGACGCCTAGAGGACTCTCCTCCCAATGTCCTTTCTATAGGTAAGTGAAGCCTATGGAGGGGCCGGACAAAAGGTCAGACAACCCCAGGGATGTTCTTATATTAGCAGTCATTGCTGCTTCCCTAATTCCATCTTTTCCAATTGACTGCCTTCTGGAGTCCTGAACTACAACTCCCATCATCTCAGTGGAAAGAGGGGGTGGAGTTTCAGTGCCCTGCACATATGGAAAATGTTTGCAGTTGAGCCATCCTTCAACGCCCTCGTGGCAGTCTGCCTGCTTTGAGAAACGCTCTTTTTTTACTGGAGTGGCAAAATTTAATTAAACATCCAAAGAGGTTAATCATGACACTCACACACACGCACACACGCCGTGTTTCTTTTGAACCTCTCCCTTCTCAGCTCCTGGAGACCCCTCCACGGAGCTTTCTATAATTTTTAAAGAAAGCATATCATTTGCTGTTGCCTTTTTTCAGCACGGTTTTGCTTCCTCAACTTAACCTACGGCAGTGTGATCTCCTGGTGGTCACTTCTCCCTGAATCTAATACCTTTGGTCATACTTTACTTCTTATAAAATCAGCGGGAATAGGCCGGGTATTTTTTATTTTTTTTTACCAAGACTGGACACACTCCCCTTTTCCTCTGTCACAATTATACATTCTCTTTTTCCTCCAGATGACCAGCAATCCCAAATGGACATAGACTGCTCTCCTGAGCAGGTGGGCCCTCTTGAGAGTGTCTGTGTAGAAGAGGCCACCTACTGTAGCAAGGTCGAGGGGCATCCTGAACAACCTTGTGAATCGGCAGCCGAACAGGGAAGCGTATCCAATTCTGGCGGACAGCTACGGGGAGAACCGATGGAGCAGGATCCAGGTGACGCCCGCACAGAGGACGCCCCACAACTGTGCCGCATGCGGACGGAGTTTCTAACCACCTCCGTGCCTGCTGTGGCGCCAGGAAACTCTGCCGAGCTGCCGCCCCGCGGGATGACAATCCCGCTCCAGCGTAATTTTGCCATGGGTGCAGAACGCCCTGTGGAGGAAATGCGGTTTGCAAAGGCCACTTGTGACGAGAACTGCGCGGACTTGCGCTGGCAGGTTGCGGCGCCAACTCTGTCACAGAGCACAAGGAGGATGCAGGACACTCAGCCGCCTCCCCTGGGAGTCCCCACCCAGGATAAAAAACGCTACTTTTGTGCTTGGTGCAAAGAACCATTCAAACTGCAGATTAATTTGGGAGTGCATTATAGGTATTGTCGTCAGAAGCAAAATCAGTACCCCAGCCTTCTCTTGAAAGCCCTCAAAGCTCCCCTTGGGCAGTTCATGGGCGGGTCAAGCAGCACTGGGGCCTCGGCAGCGCCTCTCCCCCTCCCACAAAAACCTGCCCCATTCCCGCCGTCCAATGACGGCAGGGGGGCGTTTCATTTCAGACCATGGCAACCTCAAGCCCAACAGAGAATGGTAAAAAGCAAAGACATTTCTGATGCCACCCGGAACACCGCCGAGACTCCACGCAGTTTGGCGCCGACAAACTGTGCGATGAAGAAGCTGTGCCCCTGTCTGCAATGTGGGGAAAAATTTGTGTACAAGTGGCAACTCTCGGCTCACCTGCAATATTGCAGGAAGAACATGGATGGGAAGAAACAGCTGCCACCAAAGCCCCAGGATGTTGCCACAAAGGGGCTCGCCTGCTGTGCCAAAACGCCAGAGCCTCGCGCCGAACCGGCTGTGCTTCCGAGCACTTCTAAAGACAAGGCGCTATACCCGTGCGAGAAATGCGGCAAGAATTTAAGCAAGTGCTACATATCCACGCATCAGGCGTTCCACGAGGGACAACGATACAAGTGCCTCTGGTGCGGGAAGATCTTCAACTTCCGGAGTGGGGCAGTGAGGCACAAGAAACAACACTACACGAACGACGAAGACATCAACTGTCCGAAATGCGGGAAGAGAGCTGGCGACCCAGAATGTTTCTGCATGATCAAAAAAATCATCGTCGCTTCCGATTCAGATAGCGGGGAAGAATCCGAGCCGGAGGGACCCAAATAGCTGTTTGCGAAAGGCAAGCAGTTTTAGTATTTGTAAATAGGGGTTTAGAAATCGAGGTGCTACAAACGATTGGTGCGAATTCAAGTGATACGGCAACGGGGGGTTTCGAACGCAATGCCTGCCTCCGAGGGCGCCTGGCTCGGCTGACTGCACATCGGGAGCACTATGCAAAATATGCTTGCTCCAGATGTTCCGAGAAACGCCTTTTTTGTCAGCCCCTTGACACATACACTGGGGGGGAAAAACCACGTGAATTGTATACACCGCTGTACACCAGGAAGACACTGTTGTGGGCCAGGCCTCTTTTTGATGGAATGAGGTTGTCTTTTGTTTGTGTCTCACTTGCACTCGGGACCCCCAGGTAGCTTGATATGTTCTGCCTGCGGGGGCACCGGCTTGAGGATGGATAATAGCCATAATAATGTCCACCAGCAATTTTACTTTTGTGCCTTAGCTGGATCTTCAAAAATTCTGTGACAAATCTGGTACGATATAAAGAACGATGGACGGATCTATTTCACAGACTGAGTTTTTCAACCTGGGTAGCTGTAAGATGGGTGGACTTCAACTCCCAGAATTCCCCTGCCAGCTATGAATCCTGGGAGTTGAGGTCCAGCTGTCTTCCAGTGGCCCCGTTGAGAAATGTTGCTCTAAGAAATCCAAAATCAGGGGCACCAAGGGGGTCTGGGACTGGACTCCAGCACAGGTGGACAAAATGACCTCTTTCTTTTTAACCCCAGCCCACCAGAATCCTCCTATCCCCTCCCCAAAACCTATAGGACAGGCCTACTTTAAGGTACTCAACATTTTGTAGCTAATTTTGACCGATTACTGTAGTACAGCGCGTAAAAAAGTTGTAAAAATAAAAAGGCATTTTCATGGCAGACTTCAAAATAATGTTCTT